GGGGGGGGCGGCTTGTTTTACAACGTCGTTGCCAAGCGACGAAAACCCAACCCCGATGGCAAACACCGGGAGGGGCGGCAACACCGGGGGGAGGGGGCGAAACACAGGGGGGGTCCGTCCCGCAGAAGCAGTTAATCCCGATCTTCTACAAAATCTCACCACATCAGAGGCCGTGTTTCGTTCCCCCTCGCCGCCCTTTGCACCCCCACTGACCCCGTCCCCCCCCCCGCCGCCCGCGGGTCCCCCGCCAGCATCCTCCTCGCCACCATCTCCCGCATCTCCCATGGCCGTGTCCTCGTCGACCATGGAGGCTTCGGCGTCGGAGAGGCTCCTCGCTCGCCCTCGGGTACGGCCGCGGGCGTTTCGCGACGGGGACGGCGCCGGTGCCGTCGCTTCATTTTTATCCTTAAGCCGGGGAAAGACAAGGGGAAGGGAGAGAGAGAGAGAGAGAGAGAGGGAGAAAGAGAGAGAGCGAGGGAAGCAGGAGCAAAATAAGAATAAAAAAATGATCAAGACTAAACTCAGGAGCGTGACCGCCGAAAGAAAAAAAAAAGGTGAAACAAAAAAAAAGTGACTCCAATGGATTTGCGCACGCCAGGGATCAGCGAGGACGTGAGAATTCAACAAGGTGTCGCCAAGGATTTGCCAAGGTTGACGGCCTATCCATTACTTTGCCGCCTTCTGGGCATCGGCCACTCCAACCAAATCTCCAGCTGCTGCTTTTTTTAAGTATTCTCGAGCGGTGCGTTTTGGCATGCGAGGTGCGTTCATCTCCGAAGCAGCGGCGCCGGCACTAAAGCAGTATTCCACGCCTGGCTCGGCGACACGGTGGCGGCAACAAACGGCCCGTTCCAAGGCGCATCTGGAACGACCCGTTGTCGGCGTCACGGAGTCGTTGACCAGGCGGGGACTACTGTTTAACTGCCGGGCGGGATCGCTACGTGAGGGACGACAGTGCGGTCGGTGGGTAGAGAGCGTCTCCCTGGCCTTGCACAAGGCCCCCCAATAACTGAGGCGCGCATGTAAAAGACATGTGGGTGGCGAACAGCCTGTCTGGCGTCAGGAACGTTCACGCGTCAATCTGACACTGACGAAAACGTCACCGGTCGACCAGGGGATTTTTCACGTAAGTTTACCATATTAAAAAAAAACATTCCTTTCGAAAAAAGCCCACCAATCGGGAACACTGCGGCGCCCTGAACATAGATGCTCAGCTACAGAGGCAAGGCGAAACGCAGGTTCGCTATGCAGAGGAGCCGAGAACAGGAAAATAAATAAAGTCAACCAAAAATGAGACAAAACACGCAAATAGCATATTCGAGCGGCTACTACTGTACAGCAGCGGAAATTGAAGGCACTCACGTCGTCGAACGGAGGGGGCGCGTCAGGGTGCCGGAAAGAGAACCCGCTCTTGGAAACCTCCTTGGACGGCGGGTTGGCCGCCTGCGCCGCGGTCAGCATGCCCTTGAGCTTCGTCACGCTCTCGCCTGGTGGTGGGTATGCGCGCGGCGCCGCACGAGGAAAACCGCACACGCCGCCCCCCCCCCCAAAAAAAGAGAAAAGAGGCACGGTTTAAAATTAACTTGCCCGCAGAGGCTGTGGGGATCGTTCGACTATGTAGCCATGGTCACGAAGCAAAAACACCCGGGAACAAGAGTTGTAGTTACAAACCCATGTCGGATTGATGGAAAGGCGCAAGAACTGGCGGAAGCGAAGGTAGCGCAGGGGCGTACGGAATACCCGGGACGAGCAGCACGGGCAACACAGGCCTGGGCCAACGAAAACCGAAGCTCATCAGATGCGCTGCGCCTTCCGTGTCTATCAAACTCGCTGCTACTGAGGGTAGACATGTGTATTAGTACAGTGGAGTACGATAGTCTTAAGTGTGTCTCATGGAAACATGGTGAGACCAGCGAGAAGGGAAACAGAGCGCAACCATGCTCGTGCGGTTCAAGTACACAGACAGCTGTTCATGAAAAAAGGTTCCCATCTACTGTGATCCAATGTGTGCCACTCCGTTTACGGAATTCAACAAGCAGTTCCAACAACATCACACACACAACATTTCGATACGCCGCACTGCCAGCACCTCATGAACTTGACCCACATACACCCCCTAGTCCAGTGAGAACCCGGCGTGCTCCGTCTCGGCTGTGTAGTTGTTGTTGTTGTTGCCTTCATGTGAGGTGAATGGCCTGACGACTATGGCCTGCACGGCTATGATATCACCCCCCCTCTCTCACGCCGAGCCTCAAGACCCTAACCTAACAAGACCCGGCACCTCGACGCTGTGAAGGCCGCGATGCAACCCACCTGCGCTAAATGCGACGGATTTCTGGATCTTAGCGGTGCAGCGTGCCTGCAGCTTCCGCTGGTGGGGGTCGCCTACGTTCTTGCGCATCTCCGTCCTGTTCCTCTTCTTCACCTTCGACCGAATACTCTTGGCCATCTTGTTTTGGCTTTCCTCGACGACTCGTCTCTGTGTCTTCGCTTGCTCCTGCTGCAGCTGCTGCTGAATTCATGGGACACATTATCAGGAAGTTCTTCTTGTCGTCAGTGTGCCGACAAACTTATCACAGCAGGCAGGGTGGGACCAGTCTTTGCTGCTGCTACTACTGCTGCTGCTACTAAAATTACACGTTATCAGCAGGGCCTTTTTGTCGTGAGGATGACGACAATCTTTCAAGACAGCAGGCAAGGTTTAACCAGTCTCTTTAAGGCGAGGGGCGAGGGACGCGACCTCCCCTCTGCTGTATTGCTTGCGACCGCCTTTCGCGAGATCAATCAAGTTCATGAGGAAATAGAACAAGGAGGGGAGACGCAGACCCCATACCCCTCACCCTAGCCCAACTTCCCCGGTAGTAATCATTATCCAACATCCTTACATATTCGAAAAAAACACCCTGCCAAGGCTACTGTTTGCTTGTGGGGTTCTCCCTGCTTCGCTGCGTTCGTGTTCTCTTGCCTCTAAGTTTGTACATTACTGATGGACAAGTCTTGCAAATATGCTCACAACCCAGAATTGCTGCCACGACCTAACGACTGCAGCCCCCCTCCCCCCCGATCGAAGCAAGAACAACGCGGTCGTCAAGTCAGGACGTTTACGTACGTACTCCGTACTTCAGTAGAGCCAAGCCGCCGCATTCCTTTGTACAGGTACACATGTGTGCCCATCTGCCGCCTCTTTGTCCTGTTTGCTCCGTTACTCACATGCCCTGGTGCGTAGTGCCTGGTGCTGGTACGTTACCCTTTGATTTTTTCTTTAGGCGGGTGTGGGAAGCGTCCTCTTTTATTTATTTATTCGAGCGAAGCGAGATTTCTAATCTTGCCTGAGAGGGCTCAGCGCAAT